GTGGGGGGGGTGCGCGTTCGCATGGCTGTGGGGGGTTTGTCAATTGCGGTTTTCGCAGTGGCGACCTGAAGATGCTACAGTTTCGCGATGGCTAAGGTAGAACCCCACTCCATTACAGACACCGTTCTTTATGGTAGTCATACCCTCCCAAACCTTACATCTATCAAGGCCCCCATAGTTGAAGTCTCGATACTTTGGCGGCTCATGCTGTCGTCGCCGAGATGCATGTACATGCTGCGTTCCGCAGGATACTGATGGCCAAGATGGATCTCATGGCGACAAAGCTGAAGACTCGAAATCCCACACTTACTAATTCAGTTTTCTTGTAAGAAGGGTGGCCCGGGGTAGCTGAGGGATCACATTTCTGGTACCTGCCGCGGGCTGCCTGTTCCAATTCTGCACCCAACCGATTATGCCGGAGGCTACACAAGCCGCCGTAGAATTACTTTATAAGTTGTAAAGTTGTAAAGCTCAACATGCATCTGGCCCTCCAGACACGCAGACGAACTTTCGACTTTGGCGATGCTCAAGGCTCCAGTCCCTTCAGTTCCCGCGAACCTATCTGTGCTTTAGATCCTGAGACCAGGAACATAAAGGTCCAACAGAGAATCCAGGAGTTCTCGAGGATTTATCTCTCCTTCCAGAGCAGAAAGAGTGTCTGAGGGCCATGCACCAGTCGACGGCGGAGCCCGACTGGTGATCTAGCAGATAGCCAGATGGCCGTTCAGGGTTTAGGGACTTTAGGTTTTTAGGGATGAGTATGAAAGCTGTTGATAATGACATCTGATCGAAGCTAAGTATGATGAAATTTTTCTGCCCAGTCGCAGCATGGGCAAGCTGTTGCTGGAGCCCAGCTCGCAACACGAGGAGCCAGGCGAAGTGACGGATTTGTGTGTACGGCGGCAGGTTGAACTCGAAAAGATACAGAGAAGTTCGGGAAAGACCTGCGGCTCATCGGTTTAGCTGAGCTTAAAAGATACTGCTTCGCTAGCAGGCTCCTAAATTCGTGCATGTGCTACCATCGCGCCGCATGTTCCAAGGAAGCGGGTGCGAGCTGCAAGGCTTACACGGGCTGCCCGTTCCCAGACAACTTCCCAAACATATCCTGGACAAGGCGCCAGAGCTCTAAACTCTAAACAGCCTGTCTCGGTTCATGTACAGCTAGGGCTTCAGCCTAGTGAGAAGATTAGGACGAAGCAGGTGTAAGTCACAAATACACGAAGCCAGTTCCTCTTTGCAAAAGAGATCCGGGCGCTCGAGGCCTCGTTTTAGTTGAAGCTCTCTCCCGCTGTCGAGCACGTAAGGCGCGTTTAAGGCAAAAATTCCAGGCTTCTACAGAGTGGGAGCCTACCAAAGCACGAAGCACGCTTCCGCGGCTGAAAAAGTTCCGACTCTTCCGTTTTTCAGCTCGCTTGGATATGCGAAAGCTTAATCCTTTTAATATCCACCACACTCGACCTATTGACTGTCAAGGCGTTAGGTCTTCACAGGTCCTTGCATGTGGACATGCAGAGGGTTCTGGAGAGAGAGTAACAATTGCAAAGTTGGGCATCAGCCATGTCGGCTTTCATCCCGGGAGGGTTGAGCATATGCAGTTTTGTATGATGAGACCGTGTTGCTGTGTCCATATTGACTCCGCAAGTTTGCCGCAGTGGTCCTCAGTGAAGTACCTGGCACTTCGCAAGACGACGGGCTTGCAAACATTTATAGGCCATGTTGCTGACGACTTCAGATGATTTGTTCTCTTTGAGGCAGCTTGTTTACAGCAGGTCTCGGGAATGTTAGGAAGCCTTGAAGAAATGTGCGAAGTTGCCCGTGCTTGGACAGCACGGTTCGGGTTGGGGGCTGGGCGCGGAGGGACGGTTGCAGAAGCTGTGATGAACTACTCTCGCACTCAGCTCCAGAAAGTGCTGGAACACTCGTTGAAACATGTTGAAACTAGCCACGATTGCACATGGCCCCGGCAAAGCACGTTCTGGACCTTGGAATGTTGATGAGGGCCTTTTAGAGGTTTAGCAGCTCAATCTGGCGTCGTCGTCCAGGGCTTTCTCGGCACGGATTGATTTGGTCCGAGTTGTTCGACCGATGTCCAGTCTTGTTGCCACGAGCCAGGGACCAAGCTTCCGAGTCGAAGAGCCAGATGCCCTCAATGGACCAAGATGGGCCGAGGCGACGATCAGGTCGCTGGGGCTGAGAACTGAGGCCAGGCAGCTTTGGCCGTCGCAGCTGTCACGGCCCCAGTGTAGACTTCTCAACCAACAAAAGCTCCGGAGGCATGTTGGCATCCTTTCGTGCTGCATAAAACAATACCGTACCGGCCTGGCACACCATCATAGCAGCACTATGAAGACCTGAGTGGGCTTTGTAATGCTTTATGCAGGGAGGGGTCGGGGGTCCGGGTGTGGGGCTTACGCGGGGTTAGTTAGGGTTTAGGGTTTAGAGGGCTAGACCTTTTAGGGTTTGTGGCTTCAGGCATTGGGGGTTTACGGGGTATGATGGGGTTGCTATGTGTTTATACGTGTCTTGCAGAGTTGTCTAGGGTCTTAGGGTGTTTGGGCGCTTAGTGAGGAGGATGTGAAGGATGCAGGGGCCGTCAAATCCGATGCTGAAGTCTGCCCCTCTGACTTTCTCGCGTGCTCTCTCTGTCTCTCTGCGTGCCTCTCTCGCTCTCTCTCTATCTCTCTCTCTCTCTCTCTCTCTCTCTTTCTCCCTCACTCTCTATCTCTCTCGCTCTACCTAAACTTGTAAATCCCCGATCAACTCCAAACCTCCACACCCCTGACACCCTAAACCAAACGGAAGTATGAGGAGCCTTGCCTGCGTGTGCGAGGGTGAGAGTCGAAACCAAAGCTGCAATCCGGAACGCAAACCCCCAGACCCAGACCCTAACTCTAAACTAAGCCCCAACCGTTGGTATTCCTGCTGACTGAAGATGCCATGTGAGCAAGGCAAAGCAACACGAGTCCTAACCCTAAGCTTAGCCGTAAACCGCTAAGCCCTTAAATCCTACACCCTAACCCAAGTCCAAAGTATCACGCCGACTATCGCAGCTATGGATCCTCGCCTGGCTTGTCCGAGTTGTGAGAATGTAAACCCTAGACCTCGTCTGGCGGAACCCTAGACCCAAAACCTAAACCCCTAAAAACCCTAAGTCGTGCATGTCGGAGGTGGCAGCTCGGACTTTGTTGGTCGCCAGATGTGCAAGCCGAAAGAATAACGCGGAGAAAAATGGAGTGCGTTGCTTGTCCGTGTTGAAGAGTCGGGAGCCTGGCGCTTGAACGCATATAATGTGGTGAATCATATTGGTGTCTCACGCAATAGTGTGAAGTGGACCCGCATTCAACATGACGTTTATTGAAACGTGTGACCAGAATTATTCAGAATGATTGTTGTAGCCCGAGGTGGCTGCCACACAAATTGCTTGCACGTGACATTTTGGAAATGAAACGCAGCCTTGAGCAACCAACTCCTCCAGCTTGCCACACGAGCTCGATAGCGACACAGCCTTTACATGGGACGGGCCATGTAATCATGTAATCCTACATGGATTGATCTGAAAGTGCAGCGGCTTGTCCGTGAGCATAACGCCATGGCAGACCGTTTCCTTTGGGTTTGCTTTAGCAACCGCCCTCACAAGGCTGGCACCAATCGAAAGCCACCTTTTGTTAAACGAAGCTCACGAAAAGGTAGCTGGCGTTCAGACACTGTGCGGCGACACGCTCTTCCAGCAGCTGCACTGGCATGCGGGCACCCAAGAAATTTCAGACAGTGTTGCTACTAGTTGAAATTGAACATAGAGGTTAACGCAGCGTTTCCTTCACAAGGTTGCAACCGGCATGGCCGCGGCCTTCCGAAAGGAGGGTGCGCAAAATGTGTTGGCAACAGGGTCGATGGTGAACTCCATCAACAAAGCCTGCGACCTGGCCGACTTGCAAAGGAGCGCGATTGTGCTGATCCAGTTAGCTATACATATCTATACGTAGCACAAAGGTTGGTGTATTGTCGAGTGAAGGAAGACGCTTGTGGTCATGTCCGATGATCTCAGCGACCCCCGGCTTGTCGATGGGGAGCCTGGCTGTTGGGCGGACAGCCTTGGCCGCAAACTGACCCTGGAGGCCTGGGCAAATTCTCAATCATTCCAACAGCATGCTAGTCCGGCTAGTCTCTGAACAGGCAGCAGCAGAGCGCCTTTGCCGACACATGCGATCCATTGGAGCTAAGCTGGGCTTTGAGCCCAGACCGATCTTCATTATGGGCCCAGAAAGAGCGAGAACACGTCATACATACATCATGATGAGGTGGGCCGTACCCGCTCTCCAACCCGGGCTACCGGCTGGAAATGCCGGAGTTCTCCCTCGCCAGCATCATCTTGGGAGACTTTTGGATTGCCACCCCCCCGATCTCGTTCAGATGGCGGGAGGAGCTCTCGGCGCACCAGTTTGAGCAACTTGAGAAGCCGCCGTTTGCAAGAAAGCAGGATAATTTGATTTGCGATCTGAAGGAGGCATACCCAAAGCCTGACATTGATGCTTGCGCGCAGGCCTTCGGATTTCTTAGAAAGAACGTGCGCTTCATGATTCAGTGCGAAACGAGGCTTTGCAGGAGGGCCCACTTCTTCGCTGGAATCGCCTGTCGATTCCTGCCCGTCACTATGAGGCAGGCTTAACGTTTAAAGGTTGTTTTCATCCATGCTCATCCAATCGCACAAGTGTCCTTTGCCTGTGCGGATTTCCGCCATAAACTGCTGGTGTCCTGTCGAGGCAGACGGGGCCGGCAATGGCAATGCACGCAAGAAGAAGGACAAGAAGGCAACAGAAACAACACATTCACACATGAGTCATCATGTCTTGCTTCTGTTCGTGTAGGCACGGGCGTTTCTCCTGCGCACCTGGAAAACTGACGAGGGAGACGCCGTGTTTTGTGGAGGCAGATTATGCCATTCTCCGTTTTGAACCGGACAGCTCACCAAATTAAGTCTGGAGGCCGCAGCGACTCGGAAGTCCAGATGCGGAACGGCTTGAAGCTGATCAAGGATCCCGAGCGTGTGAGCAAAGCAACCCACAATGCGTCCGAGTTTGCGATTTCGTGACATTCGGCCAAGCTAGGATGTCAAGTTGAGGGAGCTGGCACGAAGACTCGCGGACATCCTCAAGGCACGACATTGCGTATACTGTGCTTGGTTTATGACTTTAAAACAAGTTTATGACGGGCTTAATGGTTGATAACTCATTGCTACAGAATCTGTCCAACTTAAAAGAATCGTGCCAATTTTACGGGGCCTTTGCGCCGTTCGGCATATTTGCCGGCCATGCCGCAGCCGGACGTGTCACTCTAGTCCCCAAACAACCTGCAGTGCCCAACCAGACTGTCCCAGCAGCGTTTCGCTGAGGAGCGCCGTGAAACGCAAGCCTAAGGCCAACATGAGGATAGTTCATTTGTTGGCTGTTGCACGCACCGCGACGGCCCCTGAAACACGCAAACATCCCAAGCAGGATGTGTTTTTATCAGACATGATGGCAACGAACGCCCAGGAACAGTGGGCGCCGGCAACCAACACCCGCTTCTTCAGAGTTCAACGAATGTGCAGATTTCGGAGGAAGCTCGCATCCCCGAGACGGCGTGCCAGCAGATCCTTGAAAGAAGCCGCGGAAAGCGGGATGCAGAGCGCGAGGCATGAACAGAGTGATTGAATCAGACTGAGGATCGACTGAGGAGTCTTGTCAATCTTGGCTGTAGGCTGCGTGTGGTGCGAAGTCGCCCAAGCTGAAAGGCCGGCAGCACACTCGCAGGCGCATCAGAAGCGACTGGTCGGCTCGGCACGATAGTCTGCATGTGCTTACAGACAGGAGCCGTGGATTGGCCATCCATGGGCGCAAGCGCAAGCCAGGCCAAAAAAAAGAAGGCAGGTTTGCTCGACGGTGGTTGGACGGAAGTTAAGCTGTCGATGTTTGCATAATGTGGTCCAGGCGATTCACAAATGTTCAGCTTCCGTGAGGAGTCGGTTGACGAGGGCCAAAGCAGCCATCCGCTATCACCGATAAAAAATTTGCAGATGCGGAGCGGCACAAATGCGGGAATCCGTGCACCCAGCAGTGCAACCCAGCAGCACATGCAAAATTTGCAGTTTGCACCCAACATCCATGCAAAGCTTGCACAGCCTACGGACGTTGATGCCATGACCCTTGGTGATTCCTGCTTTAGCTGGGGGGGCGAGCTCTGACTGCTTGGGTACTGCTAGGGGCCGTTGCTGTGGCATGTCCAACAGCTTCATACTGTAGTTTGATCATGTTCGCAAGCCGGCCGGCGGCAGTTGCGAGGACTGCTCCCACCTGCGTGCCGGAGTTTTTTTGCAGGCTAAGGGTAAAGCGCGGTGCTTCGTTTGTGAACTTTGCGTGTCTCAACAGCCTAGTGTCCACCCGACTTGCCGGCCCGAAGCTCGGGCAGCCGCTGCCGCGGCATATGCCTGTCAAAAAGCTGCCTGCAGCGGCGCGGAGAGCTTTCCACAGCCTTCAACGAAACAGGCGGCAGGGTTTCTTGCACGACGGCAGCGTTTCATGCAGACACTCTGGTTGCACCGGCTTTCGCGCAAGCCCGCAATTTTGGGGGTTGGACCGGGCTTCGCTGGCATTTTTTCGCTTGTGACGTTTGGACTTCTGGTTGTGGAGGTTCCGCAGGGTCTCCCTGCATTGCTACTCGGCGTGCAGTTTTGGCCTCTTCTTCGACCTGAGCGAAGCGTCGCCTGAGTTCCAGCTCTGTTATATTCTAAGATGCTCCGTGGCATTCGGCTTTCGCGTGACTCTGTGGTGTGGAAGGCTTCAGAGCAGAGGTTATTTGTACGTCACCGTGAAGTGATTCACAGGTAAATCGCGGTTCCTTGATAGACAAACAAGACATGGATCAATTGAGTGGAATCTCTGATCATTCTATTTATTTCATATCTGATTGCTTGAATTCTGATCACGATATAATGGTCATAATAAAATATATATATAATTATTGAGAGATTAGATCTTATTTTTCTATATTTCACAATATTCTATTCATTTATAATATATTTTATTATTTAGATTTAATGAGATATTTATTAAATAATTATATTCATTAATTGTTTTCCTTTTTATGAAAAGAATAAAGGATAATATAGAGATCTGATCTAGAAGATAACACCCTAAATTTTAGGAATACATAAATTATTGACTAGAAGATTTTGATTTATATCTTGGATAATCCTCTGGGAGATTACGAGAACTGATATATATATATAATATTGACAAAAAAAAATTGAAATTATTATAGAAATTTCCCAAAAAGATATACGATAAAATAAAATTCTTATCGTGCAAAAAAAAAATATATTTTTTATATTATGATATTCGTATCGGGTCTTGAGGATTAGAAAAATTGTATTTTTATATGAATAATTTATTGGGGGAAAAAAGGAAAAAAATAGTGACTATTAGAATTTAGATTAAAGGAAGAAATATTACGAGGATAATTTGAAGAGATCTCTAAGATACCTGCTTATTATTCTAATGATTTCTTTGAATATTATTTGGTTGTTATTTGAGCCATTTGATCGCAAATTATATTTCTATTTCTTTTTTTCAAGGTCTGGAATAGGAGATATGGACGGCCAAATAAGCAGCCTAGAAAGAATAGGAATTGAATCTTGCAATATATAGAAAATAGCTAAAAATAGAGCATATAGAAAGAAAAATGATAGGGAATAGAGGCAGTCTTGGTAGGGCAAGGCGAATTTATTGCAAATTGGGGAAAGAGTCGAAGGAGGAGGGGAGGGAGGCGGCGACAAGCAGAGAAGGCGACAGAAGAAAAATAATAAAATATAAAGAAGTCGAGGAGGCAAAGGCTAATAAATCAGGTCGAATCAAGGGAGGTCGGACGACGAGAAAGCAAATAGATATAGAAAGCGGGTCTTTATTTATTATTATTATGAATATTGAAAGCAAGACCTTGAAATTTTTTATTTTCGAAAGCTGGGAAATTTATATTCTATTATTATTATAGTAATTCTTGTTTTTTTATAAGATTTCTCAATATATGATTTATATATTCGAATTTATATTTTCGAAACTTAGATTAGGTTTCTAGAATATAGATTTTTATATATCAATAAATATAGAAATATAGTTATAAGAGCTTAATTTCCATCTGCTCAGATATTTATATGATCGATTATATATATATCGGAGATTCGAAGCCCAAGCATGAGAATTGAATTTTCAAATAATTTTTAAATCTTGATATGATAAAAAATAGAAATTCTATTATTCTAGCTTATAGAT